ATAGTTTATCTCATTATGATATCAATTAATTTAAATACATGTTTTATTATAAAATTAAAAGTGAAAGAGGGTTTATAACCTAAAATACTTTTGCTTTAACACCTTTGACTATGGCTCGTTTTACTTGCGCATTTATCAAGAAAGATAATACTATTTGTGGAAATAAGTGCTGTGACCCCACCAGGTGCTATAGACACTGGAAATTGTATGAAAAAAATATAGAAAAAAAACCCTGCCTTGTTAGTGGTTATCATAGATATACTGTTTCTACTACAGGATGTTGTCCTGATCATTCAGGTAGATTTCATTCGCTAAATTATCGGATGAGAAAGAAATATGGGGTTGAGACTCTTCAACCAAGAATCCCTGAAGCTCCAATTTTCGAGCTAAGTGATGTGGTTAGAAACATTCAACCTAGAATCTATGAAGTTCCGGTTTCAGAGTTAGATGATAAGGATATGGGTTTAGGTCTATTTGATTAGTGATTAGCTCGAAATTCAGAGCACTAGGAACTCCTTTGAATTATCTACCAAGAAGTGAGTAAACAAGTCTGAATCAGATATTTTCCTAATTATTATATCTATTTCTTTGGCTTGGCGCGGTCCATTTAAGATCCACTTTTTTTTATCATGTGCAGTAAATACGTCAGTTTGCTTTAGCAAACTAGAGTAGTATTCTTCCATAATTTTATATAAGATTTGAAAGATGTTATGGCGAACTTAATAAGCAAATCGTAAAAGAAAGGCATCCAGAAAAAATGAAGCCTTCTGCAGAATTATATTATATAAAAATGGCAGAAGGCTTCACCTACCTGATTTATGATTTATTAGTATCAGCACATATCGAATAAATCATCTTCTGTGATTTGCTTATTATCCACTTTGCTTGAACTAGTAATATTATCTAATATTAATTCATCAGGTGGAAGTTTACTATACCCATACCGAGTATCTTCTCTATTTTCCCAATAAATTTCTTCACCCGTTTGATATGAAAGAAATCTAGAAGCGTCTTTACTATCGAATGAACCTAATAGGTGGTAATATCTACGATTCTTGTCTATAGTCTTAAATTTCAACCCATAGGTTGCATGTAGTGCTGAGTTCAGCAAACCAAGTTTTGCCCGATCTGTTTTCAATCCTGATTTTTTAACTCTGCGTGATGCATCTGTATTGTCAAATACCTGAGCCATTTTGAGAACTAAATCCTGAAGATATGATATTGATTCAAGAGAATTCAGACGCATCTTAACATCATCAGATTTATATCTGGCCCTATCATCGATATCTCTAGTTGGCGTGCAAATTCTTAATAATTCTAGGCAAATTCGATGCCTCTCAGCTCAGGTTGCAGTTGTGAGCCTATTTTCTCTATAATCTTTACGGGAAATAGCCTCAACAGCCATTTCATTATTAGTACCCGCATCTCGCAATTGTCTATAAGCTCTGAACCATTTCATATGATTATAATTTCCATACCTAGAGATAAAATCTTCAGTTAATGTTTCAGGTGGTATCTCATAACAATCCACAATATGATGTCGGTCTAAAGAACGCGTCTCTTCTAAAGTCTTCTTTGGCTTATTCTCTAATAATTCAGTAGTCTCATGGTTGACAATAGAAGCATTAGGTATATTCGATATCTCCTCTGCTTTAACTATAGAAGAACTCATCTTCACTGTTTGGAATAGCAATATCATAGTATCTTCAGGTTTAGGAACGAATTCTATGACAGAAACTACCATACCTACCTTTTGGAAAAATCGACCATCCTCCAACCAAATAAACGTCGGGAATAGAAATTTTCCAACATATATGCTACTCACAATCGAATAGTTGGCATATCTTTATTCCGTATAATAGAATATACATCTGGAAAAATCCCTCTATTCTGAAGTTCACGAGGAAGGCATTCACGTTTGGCATTCAACAACTATTGGAATAATCCTTTCTCTGTGACTGGAACATTAGAAGATCTCTGCTCAATATGACATATATAATCTTTAATGCATTGCATGCGGAATAACATCTGATTCGTTCCGGCATTTGTTTCTATGTAGCTATTAAAAAGACAGAATGCTCGCTCAAACGTGCAGGATACTCCTATTTTTAAAGTGCTGGTATAAGTAACTAGGTCAATATTTTTCCATGATTCTTCTACGTTGCTAAAATCTTGAGTTTTTTCCATTGGATCGGATTTACCGTGATACTCCTTGATCCTTAATTCTGGAAATTCAGTCTTGAGAGCACGAACAATTCCTTGTAGATCTTTTCTAAGATGGCAAATAAGTGATGCACTTTTACGATTCTCAAAAGGTAGTAAGGAAGTCTGCTTGGCCCAATCCCAGAGTTCAACTAATATAGATTCTTTATTAGGAGCTAAGCGGAATGTTTTACCTTTCTGAGGCTGGTAAGTGTTATGAATAATTGAAAATAGTTTATCCTTGCGAAGAGCTTTAATTCACTCGATATTAAGATCAGTAAGATCATTATCCATAACGATAATGCGTTTCGCTTCTTGAATTAGTTTATACAATTTTTCTATTGATTGCCCAACCAAATGACCTTGTGCCTGAGCAATTATAGACACTATTTCATCAAGCCATAAATCATATTGGCTCAGACGACATTTGCATTTTTTATTACATTTACAATTATTAGTAATGCGATGTAAGCTCTTTATCTGACATACTACCCTCTTGTGATCAGGTAGATTTATATTACCATCAATATCACAATATGACTTAAGATTAAGTCTGGTAGTAACAGCATTCGAATAGGAATGACGCGTGGATAATACTAGCAAATTTATATCATCAGATATAGTAAGATGTTCAAGAATATATGTTTTTTCTGTTTCTCAAGGCGACCCTACATAAATATCACCTTCATTCGACAATGGTCTTACATACCTCTCTTTGTATGTTTCTGTAGCTATAAGGGCTTCATTACACTTGACCCAAGATGGCATTTTTACGAAAGCTTTAGAAAATCCTGGACCCTTTATCTTATGAGAGGCCTGTGGTAAATTTTTATTTTCTTGCTGAATTTTTTCTGCAATAGATGAATCACATTCAAAAATTTCCCCACGCTCATCACTATTCTGCTAAAAACATTTTACTATGAATTCACCACTAGCGTATACGCGACCGAACTACCACTGATCCTTGTCATGTATACGTTTGCAGAGTGGACATCCTAGTGGCGCTTTTCGGTTAAAATATACGAAGTTTTCTTTCGTCTCTTCCTTTTCTTCGATAGTCCAATCCCTAAGATAGTTAGA